CTACATACAGATCAGTGTGGAAGCATGCATGCTAAATGGTAATATTATTTAGTGTAAAAGATTCTGTTTAAAAACTGAATCTTTAATCAATATACTGTAGTATAAATGAAAAATAATGATAATAATGAGAGTGTTACATTGTCAAAAAAGTGTATACATTTTTCTACTAGAAGCATCCTCAAAGCTTTCTTTTAGCCTTTCCATTACAGCTGTTAAGTAAAATGTGCAAGAAAACCGAGGTCACATTTCACAAGGTACCATGGGAACAAATCCTTGCAGAGGCCAAATGTTTCCCTAGAAATCCTGTACTTAGTCTAAGTCAATACTCTGTGAAAAATAAACACAACGGTTTTTACTCACTATAACGGCCCAGGTGTTTCAAGAGGTGAGACATTTGTCTCAAGAACCTAGAAATGACTGGGACAACGCTCTCAACCTTCGACCCATGTTGACCTACCCCAAACACAACTACCTTCTCCAGTCACACTCTACGGGGCCTTGGCTAGTAAAAAATAATAACAAATAATAAACTGTCTGAATTGCACTACTGGATATTCTGGTGGACATGCTAGCTATGGTCTCAACAATTTATTGGTCCTGCAGCAACTCTTTACAGAAGGACAGAGATGATCCATAGTTTAAGTAAAACAGCAAAGCTTGAGAGAAAAGGTACAATGCCTTAGTGCAGTAAAACCAGCAAACAGCTGGCAGTTGTCCATGTCTGTATATGGGGATGTACTACTAGCATACAGAGGCATGACAAAAGAAGAAGGTCCCTTCAAAACTAAATTACCTAGCAACCTCTGTGCGGCAAGATTCACCTGGAAAGAGCTAATTCAGTCTCTGTGGAATCCCCATTATACAAGCCAATATCCAGGACAGACTTCCAGGATTCCACAGCTCCACTGCTGGCCGCAGGGAACTGTCTACCTCTGTGTTCCATTCAAGCTCATAATAAGCTGAGACTCTTCCTTGTAAGTGTGTAATTATATGTTTATTAAAGGTTCCTTGGTTTTACTGCACTTAGGTCACTGCGCCCTTTCTCTTCTGCTTTGCTGTTTTACAGGGCATTGGCTGTGTGTAGTATACAGGCAAGGAAAATGTTTGACTAATGTAGCGCTCAGGTTGTTCCTAAGGTGAGATAGAAAGAGAACTTTAAATGCTCCCTTCTTGGTCTATTCCAACACACTTTGGGAGTAAAGTGGTATGTAAAGCAGCAATTCCTTGCTCAATAACTCATTATAGTAGCAGCTTAATGTGAAGGCCAAAGCTGTGATTCGTTAGCAGCCAGATACAGTGGCAAGTATGATGGGAGTGTTATCAGAGGTATAACCCACTTCCTATCCTCCAACACAGGCACAATGTTAGTATAATTCAATTTATTGCTCTGTTTTTATTTTTTTATTTTTTTATCCTATTTACAGGCTGTTTAATAAATCAGTAGAAAATGGGAAGCACTTTATGAGATGCATTTTGTTATCAACAGCAACTCAGCCAGTAGCTTTATTCATTGTTTTCTGAAATAAGTAAAGTAAGTGACATCACAGTGTGTGCACTAGGTAGGATTGTAAATGAGAGCTCTCATTTCCTTGAGATTTCTGTGAATATCAGGGGATTTTTGTGAAATTTCGCAATTTTACAGAAATACATTGGAGTCAATGGGGAAGGTGAAATTAATGTTTTTTGGTGGATTTTGAGGGTGCAATGGGCTTTAAATAGCTTCTGAAGGTTACATCAGCTCCTTTCATCTATCTTGGACTCAATCCTGTGCCAAAAAAATGGACCCTCATTATTTGACTTTTTTCAAAGGAGGAAAACACAGACGCAAAAAAGTGAAATAAAAATGTACACCTATGGTAAAATTAGTAATCTCACAGCTAAATCAAGTTATTCAAAATGACTCAATGTACTCCTAGTGTGTTTTTTTAAATATATATATATCAACTTTTTATTAACATTATTATTAAATACACCTATACAACATTAGAAAGCACATCCGAACATACCATAAACGAGAAGAGAAAAAAATGCAGTACACCCAATTAAAAAGGGAATTTACCCTGTTAAAGTTAATTATATTAAATCAAATATTCCAATAGAGAGTGTGATGTCCTCATATAGGTGCATGTGACATGTGAAACAAAACATAAACAAAAAACAAGGTTCACAAATGTGAATGTGGGAGTCTTCAATGTGAAAATAAATCTCAAAACCTAAATTTTTTTAAACATTGTCTACAACCATAACCCTTACCACGTATTTAGCGTTCAATATCTTTTATCTCTTAAAAGAAATACCACATTGCAAATGTATTACAGCTTAACTCACAGAGATGATCTCCACATATTTCAGATTGGATATAAGCTCCTCTATTTCTCTATAGTGATCAAATATTTGAAACCAAAATCATAGAGATAGTTCAGACTGAGCTCTCCAAGACCGTGAATTATTCGTCCAGCCAAAGCATACTCCTAGTGTGTTGCACCACACACTCTAAGACAAGCATGTCAAATATAAAGGAGTTAAATTGACTTATTTGATGAAGTTGTGTTAAGAGGACTCCATGCAGCATTTGACAGCTGCCCATGAAAAGTAATCTTCTAATCCAGCTACAGTACTCTGAAATGTGACTGTTCAGTTAGAGCCATTGCTCTTTGAGCTGTATTATATAAAGTGGCTCTAAGTGCAATCATAAAGGTACAGTCTGCACTTTAGGTAAGTTTTCCCACATTTTAAACTGTACTTAAACCATGTGGAAAGTTTTGTACCATTATATTACAAGGCTCAGTTCTCATATATTCGTTTAACAAAAAAATAGCATTTTTGATGGAGTTTCCACCACATGCGCATTTGACAGGAATGAATTGTACTGAATGTAAAATGGACTGTGATGTGTTTCAATGCATGAAATTTTGTAAAATATTCCTTACCTCCTGGAAAAAAACCTATATGTTGATCTATGCACTTTCTCAAGTGCTCATCACTGGTTTTGAAGTGTGTTTTTTGCTACACTCCTGCATATAACACTTTGGGTGGATGGTTACTCATGTGGGCATGATCCAGCCACTACACATTCATAATGTTATCATGCACACTGATATCACCGGTTGTGCATATTAATGCATCTATAGAGGAAGAAGAAGGGAAGCATTCAAACACCCACGGTACCAGCCTAATCCTGTGAGAAACTGGAACCAGCTTCAAATATTGAAAACTATTTCTGGTGAGATTGCTTGCCTGAGAGTATGGGGTTGATTTATTAAAGACAAATAGGCTGGTCACTTTGCAAGAGAATTTGCCCTTAGCTTAGTAAATGACGTGAAGCTTTGCTGACTTCTATTATCCAATCATGTGCAAGCAAAATACTGGGGTTTTTTTCTTGCACATGATTAGGTATAAAATTAAATTTTTACCACATTCACTACACACACACACAGTCTATTTGCCTTTAGTAAATTAACCACTATATGAGCTATCTTCTGTATAGAAATCAAGATTGTTGTCAAATGTCACAATGCTCATCTAATGTTTGTAGATGCCTTAATGTTTATTTAATAACTTTGTGAAACATTGCCCAGTCTGTGCTACAGCTAGGACCTACAAGGGTCCCGAAGTGGCTACAGCGGATGGCGTGGTTATCACAATATGTCACCATCACACCTATTCGCTCGTTTTTATTTATTAATCACATAAAAAGAATGCAACTTTTCGGAGCCACATCGGACTCCATCAGGGAATATTCACTGATGGAGGAGTCTGTTGTGGCTCTGAAGTGTTGTGTTCTCATTAGTATACAACTTAGTTGTATTTGTAATTAGTTGTAGCAAGTAGTATACATCTCAAGATGAGAGAAAAGCTGCGCTGGTGACATGCTTCTTGTACCTTTCATTTTCTTCACTGTATTTAATTACTTTTTTCCTCCTTCTTCCTTTAGCAGTGTTTTTCTCTTTTTCCTATACATATCATGCTAGTTTTCATGGGTGATATGAACAACCATAATTCCTCTATACGTAAAGAACAAAGTGGATGTTGAAATAATTCTATACTAATTGTAGCTGCTAGTTGTACAGCACCATAGCTGAAGGCAACCACAAAAGGGAAACAATTCCAAGAGGTTTTACAGTTTTTCAAGCCCACCCATATAGGAAAAATCTGAAAGTATTTTTTTAAAATCAAATACGGAGTAATAACATGTATTGACAGTTACTACTAGAGTATTTAATGAAATGTACCAGAATGCAATGCATCCCAGATTTTGTTTTATATATTGGTGCAAAGGTGAGTTTAAAGTGTATGTCAAGGCAAATTTTAACAAAAACATGATTAGTACAGCTCTACAATACATACATGTTTTATCCCTTTAAACATGTTGCAAGTAGAGAAAAATAACTGTTGGTGTGCCAGAAATATAGTGTGCTCCTTGCTTCCTCTTTGACCTGACAATGCAGTTCTGAATTCCTAAGCACGTGGTCTCAGCCCTGCCTACTTAATTTCTGATGATTGCGAAGAACACGGACTTCTACTCATCTCCTCCCCTCCTCAACTCCATAATCCATCCTTGTGCACAGACAAAGAGCACAGAAAGTTTTTTTTACCTATCAAGATTTCTGGCAAAATCAACAGGTATTTTGCACTCAGTAAATAGATATAACAAAACACTTTTCGTGATATATTTAGCAGACCAAAGGGAGCAAATAAGAGCAGTTCATTGTTGGGTTTACATACACTTTAACCAACTATGTAACCAGCTGACTACTGTAGCTCATTGAGAAGGTCTTAATGAGAGATTAAGCCCAGTCAAACATCCATCAAGAGGCATCAGCCTAAGCGGGTGCCATTTCCACATGGACTCAGTCATCAGAGTTTGTGCCTTCCTTGTACATGTCAGAAGCCACGCTGTTGTTTCTACGAGACACATGGAGCCTATTGATGTTTCAGTCTGGGAGGTCTGTGTGTACACACATTTCAGTAATTTGAAGCATTTTCTCCTTTCATTTCAGGGAGCAGTTTCACCACAGCATCAGTAATCTATGCAGGAAGCAATTCACTCACAAATTCAACTGGATTTAATAGCTCCCAGCAGGTAAATTTTGGGGGAAAAGAGGGATATTTCAGTTTTGCACAAGAAGCCCTTTTTTCTGTCTTTCTCATTTTTTCTTTTATATGTGATTTTTAAGTTAATGATTCTTGGGTCGTGACGTTGTTCTTGCAACCTCAGAGAGTTTCTACATGCTGAGTTATAAATCCGGTCTTAATTCCGTCGCTGACAGATGTGCTTGCAGTAAATGTTTTCTGTAATGCGACCGAGAGGTACCATGTGTTTGGCCTAGCCACATACATTTGTATTGCATCTGCATATCAGATCATGTTTAATAGATACATTTGTGGCACATTTAAGGCTTCAAGTCTAGGACAGTTATCTATTTATATGCACCAACAAGCCAGCCAATGTATTCCATGTGGGAAGTTATGTCAACATATGCTCGTAGTTATATTTTGGAATGTTCACTCTGAAGTAGCAACATGTTTAACAAAAACTGCTTTTGTTGCTGTTTCTTTTTTTTTTTCCCCCGTATGTGTTCCAGGAATATCCGTCTTATCCCAACTTTGGCCAGGGTCAGTATGCGCAGTATTATAACAGCTCCCCGTATCCATCACATTATATGTCAAGCAGCAACACAAGCCCTACTATTCCTTCCACTACGGCCACATACCAGCTGCAAGAGCCACCATCTGGTGTCACCAGTCAAGCAGTAACCGATCCCTCAGGTAATTGTCCTGGTATTTATCTGTGTGCTGTAGACATTTTTAGCTGTGTTAATTAATGGCCCTCTGCTGTCTGTCAATGTGTCTGACAATATGCACATATCATTTATAAGTGTTCACAGGCATAGGTGATGGCCAATTCTTAACTCTTGTTTCTTTCTAACACAGTTATTCTCATGATATATTTACACCATTTCCAATTGCTTGGAAGAGTTGTTGAGAAGGTTAACAGGGTATATTTGATTTACATTTTCAGAGATGTATCCGTTTAGTTTTTCAGTTTTTGTTACTGCTTTTACTATCTACATGCAATGCATTATTGTGTTAAGTACTTCATGCATTTTCATGCCATCAAAGTAGTTGGTTTATAGACTTCTTTGCCATACATTTAAATGGAATCAATACTAGGTAGGGCTATACTTATCATAATATTAGTTGTAGGCCTTTGCATAGGGCAGTAGGGTAATTTACTCTTTAAGAGGGAAAAGGATGCTCTAATATTGGGCATCAGCTCAAAGGCAGGAGGGGCAGATGAGCCAAAGTAAATCATTCTGCTACTTGGTGACCAGCATGGCAGCTGTGCAGTTTTGTGGAGACATTAAGATTAGGTTTTCCATCAAATATGGCAAATGGTTCCCTGTTGGCCGGGGAAGGTCTTAGTTTGGTCAGATTAGTTCACCATCCTCAAATGTAACAATGCACAAGACAGGAGCACCTTATATTGTAAACATTTGTACGAATGATATGTGTGTAGTGAGGCTTCTGGTAATCAGAAAAGATTAATCATGGGTAGTAAAGGGGGGCATTGCCAAATATGCACTGAATATTGAATGTGTATGTTGAATAAAGGGAGAATCATGCATGGGTCTGATCATTAATTTCTGAATGGTCAGCTCTCTTCCATTTCTAGCTTAAAGTAAATCTGAGCGGAAATTCTATAAATACCTGCAGGTGTCTCCCAATATTCCTGACATGGTAGAATCCTGGGTCATTCTGAGAGGCAACGCTTTGATGCATTTCTTGATAGTGCCTAACCTTGCCTGTCCTTTCAACAATCCTGTTGGCCAGTGAAGCTACCCATCAAAGTGATAGGCTAATGGGAATATTTGGAGCCCAAGGCTTAGTAGCAAGCTTCAACACTACCCAGAAACATTAAAGCTTTGTCCGTCTGGATGGCCTTATTCTGTGATTTTGGGGGGGGGGGGGGGTATGGAGGCAGCTTGCAGGTATGTTGAGTAAAGGGAGGTGTCTGCACTTCATACCTGCACCTCTAACACTTTTTTTAAGACTTGCACAAGCATCTATGAACATGATTACCAACAGTGTATAATATGGCAGATGTCAGCTCAGGTGAAATTGTGTCTTTCAGCTTCAGTTTTAAGTCATCTATAGTAATTAGATAGTGGTTAGATGATCGTTCCACAAATGTGTGTGTTCACATCAACATGTTTATAACAATGAAGTAGAAAAGGGGAACGCTTAGCTGACTAGCTTTGGGTTGTCTAAGTGGGGGGGGGGGGGGGTAACAAAATAAAGTCAGGCAAGCCATATTGATTGGGGAGTATATCAATTGAATAGTATATTGGTTAATTGTTGAATAATTTTTTTTCAATGCCATCATGCATATATAGTATTGTGTAAAGTGCAATTTCCTATCAAGCAATCAGAAGTGACACTGTAAGTGATTTTGAAACATTAAATATAAATGTTAACATCTGTTGTGCTTTGAGTGAGCTATAGGTTTTATGTTGTAGTCTTGCGCCTCTGGCATTTTTTAGCTTTAAGTTTTTTTTCTTGTGCAGATTTGTAGTAATGCATACAATCTACTGTCTGGTTATTGGTTACCATCCATAAAAACTTGCATAGTGCATTTCACTCAGTACTGCCAGTAGAAAGATACTTATTGGAATTCCAGTCTCACACAAGACAGTTGTGCCTCAGGTTTCAAGGTTGAGTGGAAAAGTTCCTGTGAGATACAACTGTTGGATTGTAGGAGTATAAATAATATGTGTTGGTACACAGCAGGAGAGCATGTTCAGTCCACTTGTAAATGAGAGCACAGCTGCAGATCTGCTATTAAGACACAGGCGCAGTGGGTTTTGGTGACCAGATTGGATTTTTTCAGGAAACAGAGCTTGTAAAAAGAGGTTAACACCCAACTTGAAGTCATGAGGAACAGCTGACTTGGGCCTGGTTTTAACTTCCCGACATCACACTGGCTTCCACTTGCAAGGCTGCTACAGTATTCCTTATAGCAGGATGCCTTGAAAGATAGCTTAGCTGTTTCTTATGAGTTGGTTGTAAGTATATTATCCTGTGTTTGATTCCAAGCACAGCAGCGAGAGCAGCAGTATCTTTGTATGCTATAAGCATTCTTCCAGTAGATGCTGCTTGTGAAGGTGAAGATAAATATTTGAGAGCTCCCACTACTAATACAAATTATCATATGTCTATGGCAGGTATTTTCTATTTGCTGCAGCTAATTGTCAAAATGGCACCGAAATATATGTACTGTATATTAGTGCAAGAAACATGACTCATTAGGATTAGTGGTTAAAAAAAGTGGTTAATCTTTTAATTAAAAAAAGTTAGTTTTATCCTCTAGTGGTTTACGCCAAACATCTCCACTTACTAAAGTGATAACATTTTGGGACAAAATATAATAATTTTCACAGTGCATTCAGTAATTTTATATGCCATGCATGCAAAGCCTCTTACCAATTTCAATTTAATATAAAACCCAGTCTACCTTTATAATCTAATGGAGACATAAAGTGCAACAAGGAAACAAAAGGAATGCATGCATTTTTCCCTATAATCTATTTAAAGTACACCTGTCATGGAAGAATTATATAGACTGCCATAAATTACCTCTCCTTTTCCTTTTTTGAACGTAAGTCTGTTACCTAACTGTCATACAGATTCTTTGGTTCAATGGTTTCACTGACCTGGAACAAGTATAGAGATAAGTAAGTCTGACATTTTGCTGACACTCATTTACAGAATACATGTCCTGGGTATGTAACTCAGAAATCTTAAAGCCAGACAGAGACAGGAATTTTCAGACGGAGACCTTCATACTTCTGTCATGACAGGTATACTTTAAAACAGGGGCGTCCACAATTTTTCGTCTGGAGATCTACTTTTCAAATGACGAGCTCAATGAGATCTACCAACGAAAAAACACCTGCATTCGGGGGCGGGAGGGGGCGTGGTGGTGCATTGAAGTCAATGACACAGCAGCCAGGCACCGCAGGCAGGCCACTCGCCCACAGTGCGATCGCCTGCACCCAGAACCCAGGCACATTAGTGCCTGCATTCCAGTCCAGTGCAATTCGGAAAAATGCTGCAAGCACTATTTTTGCAGATCGCACTGGACTGGAATGCAGGCACTAATATGACTGCGTTCCGGGTGCGGGCAATCGCACTGTGGGTTGGGGGCATGGCTGCGGTGCCATTGACTTTAATACAATCCCACACCCCCTCCTGCCCCTGAACGCAGGGAGTAGGCCGGCTTACTTTCCTGTGCGTCCTAGAGGCCCCGGCGTCCTGTCCCCCCGCGGTGCTCATGTGGCCGACGTTGCACATGGGGAGAGGTGTCCCGCCCCTTTCCATCTGCAGCGTCTGCCACATTCAGCCGGCAGCCGCACGAGCACCGCTGGAGCATAGCGTTAGCCAGCTCCTTTTGCGCCTGAGGCAAGAAAAGAAAAACGTCCCCCCCAACAGGCGTGTGATGTCACCCAGTGCCCTGCCTCCATGGGGAAATATTAGGGGTCTAAACAGCCCCCTGATATTTCCCTTTTAAAATAGAAAAAGAAATTAAGAGTCCTCAATCACTTTTTCTGCAGCCTTTGCTCTAAATGAATCTGTAGCAAAGAGGCTTCCCATTCATTCAGAAAATATTTTACTATCATCCAGTTTCTGAATGGGGAGGAGCCTCTGTAGTGAGTGCTTCTCCCCATTGAGAAACTCATGAATGAACAGGAGGTGATTTAAATCACCTCCTGTTCATTCATAACTAGAGACACATAGTACTATGTGTCCCTAGTTATTTACAAACACTGGAGTGATCACCTGATCGCTCCAGTGTTTGTCCTGCACAGAGGATTGGTACGTATCACTGATATGTACCGATACTCTGCCGCTCGACCACACATAGAGGGGGGCTGCAACTTATCCTCTGGATCCACGCTGCTCTCCCGGACAGAGGCAGCAGCGGAACCCGAGGAGAAGTGAAAGAAGCGCTGCAGCCCATGGCGGAGGACGGAGCCGCTGTCACAGAACTAAGCCCGAGTGGTGAGGGGGAGAGAGTCGCCGGCTGTCAGAACCTGGCCGAGCATCTCTCTCTCTCTCTCCTCAACGCTCTGCCTTAGTTCTGTGACAGCAGATCCGTCATCCGCCGTGGGCTGCAGCGGTTCTTTCACTTCTTCTCGGATCCCCGCTGCATACAGATGGGGAGAGCAGCGGGGATCCAGAGAAGCACCACGGGCGGGAGGAGAGGCCATCGCGATCTACCACTGATTGCTATGCGATCAACTGGTAGATTGCGATCGACCTTATGGGCACCCCTGCTTTAAAACAACCCCTGCTTTTACCTATGACTTCAATGGGACATTTTTCTTTTTAATCCTATTTTTGTATTGAATAGAATTTAGTGAATTTTTATATACATATATTTTTGTATCTTTGCACCTGAAAAGGAGTTTTTGAGGTTTATTGTGCAAAATAGTGCTTTGCCTATTCAGTGATAAGCAACAGGTTTGATTTAAACCCCTTCTCTCCTCAGTCTATACTTACTTTTCCTTTACCCTCTGTTTGGTATTGGGAGTGAAGGAAATAGCCAATACTTCCAGGTATGGTGGAGACTGTGACTCACCTATGTGACAGGCTACATCAATGAGTTCTATCACAGCGTAGTCTATAGCCCTGTGTAAGCTATACATTGTGGTCTTGTATATCTGTAAAAAATAAGTCAAGGCAACTGGACTTGCTGTCTTTTTCTT